CGTTAGCGGAAGCGCTAGCGTTGTGTAACACAAAAACCTTCCGGCTGGACCACAGTGCTCTGAATAGTTTAATGAAGCTCCGAGGAAGATAAATTTGCCTCAAGGATTTTTTGTAATGGAGGTCCTCGAATGATTGGAGGAATCGTTTCAGCCCTATGCGGTGGGCGTGACAGCGGTAACAAAAACATGTATTTAGCAATGAGTAATATCGCTTGGATTTGAATCAGTATGTTTTGAATCCAATAAAAGCAAGGATGTTGACAAATTAACAGGACAATGATCTGGCAATTTAGTGATATTTCCACCGCTGTGGTCTTGACTGGTCTTGAAATAAAGTCCTTAATGTCTGAGACCAAGACAAGACCGAGACCAAATGCAGTCGAGTCCAAGACAAGACCAAAACCATCAAAAAGTGGTCTTGAGATCGGTCTCAAGACCAAGAATGGTCTCGAGTACTAGAACACTAGGTGATGTACAGAGTTGTAGCAACTACAGGGGAATTAAGTTGATGAGCCACACAATGAAGATCTGGGAGAGAGTTGTGGAAACAAGACAGACTAGAGGTGACTGTGAGCAGCAGTATGGTTTCATGACAAGAAAGAGCACCACAGATGACAACTTTGCTTTGAGGATGCTGATGGAGAAGTACAGAGAGGGACAGAAACAACTTCATTGTGTCTTTGTGGATTTAGAAAAAGCATATGACAGGGTGCAGAGGGAGGAGATGTGATATTGCATGAGGAAATCTGGAGTGGCAGAGAAGTATGTTAGACTGGACATGTACGAGGACAGCAGGACAGTGGTGAGATGTGCTGTAGGAGTGACAGATAGCTTCAAGGTGGAGGTGAGATTGCATCAAGGATCAGCTCTGAGCCCCTTCTTGTTTGCTCTGGTGATGGATCCACTAATTCAATAGGCAGGAAGGATCTATTGTGGCTTGTAGCTGTGGCTGAGTGGTTAAAGCAGTCGTCCTCCAATGCAAGAGTTGGGGGTTTGAATCCACCAGCAGTCACATGCCAAAGTGTCCCTGGGCAAGACACTGAACCCCTCATTGCCTCTGATGTGTGTCCTATCAGTGTATGAATGTGATAAAGCTCTGATTAGTCTCTTTATAATGATTTGTTTAATTAGCTTTGTAGAGATCTGGTGCTGTATGAATGGGTAAATGAGGCACAGATTGTAGTGTAAAGAACTTTGAGTGTCTTCATAAGATAGAAAGATGCTATATAAATACAGTCCATTTACCATTTGTAAAGGTCCATCCCACAGTGGATCTGAAGAAAATGGCTGCAGATGCCGTCCGATCCATCCACCCAGACTCAGCTGGCCTCTCGGTTCCCCCAGGCTGCAGGATCGCCCAAATGCCAGGCAGAACTCCTCTGAGAGCGATGGTCACACCTCCCAGCAGTTTGCCGAGCTCCTCGTTGCTGCGGACAGCTTGTTGTAGGTGCCGGGGGATGATCCCGGTCCTTCTGCTGTCTTGAGCCACGCTTCCTGCCAGTTCCAGGATTTCAGCAGTCAGGCACTCGAGCGCAGCTGGCAGGTAGATGGGAATGCATCTACAGCACCTCTTTTTCAACTCATTTGAAATTTGAGGCTGTAGTTGAAATATTATTTTAGCTTTGAGATGTTAATCAGCTGCTCCTGGTTGTAAAAAAAAACAAAAAACACCTTGTTGTCATGGTTACGCATCATAACAAATGTCCAAAAGTAGAAAAGTTTCAGTAAAAATCGTTCCAGCTGCACAGCATCTGACACCAGAGGAAACAATCGTCCAAAAAATGTGATTTACACCCAGAAGAAAAGGAATTAATGTTTTGTGGTTTGGTTTAATGGTTGATCCACTATGAGAAGGTGCTATTTATAAGACTGAGCTGAATACAGCACCTCAGACTGAAGAAGTATTTCAGACAAAAGATGAAACATTTCAACGTTTTTAATTTAACTTTAATTTTTTTTTTAATCTGTCCAGAGGACCTGACAACATTGTTAGATTTTTTTACCTGGATTATTGAACAGCATCAGGATATTTCTAGTGATTCATTCTGTTTAGTTTAAAAGAACAACCAGTTTCTTTTTACTGGTAAATAACCGGTGGATGGACCTTTTGGTTTGAATAAATTCTGTTGTTTTGAGCGTCTACAAGTACAGAATGTTTCTTCAATTATTCCTGTTTCTTTCTGTGTTCCTAACTCCACTCCAGCAGGTTCCAGTAAATGACATTACGTCTACATTTTTGTGTTTTAAAGAGAAAGAGGCCAAAGTTAGATACGTTAAATCACTGTCACTATCTTTTCTAATGTTTTTTTTTTTTTATCAAACCATTTTTATTTCTTCTCAACAGCTTATTCTCTTCTTTTATAGAATTATATTTGTGTGGATTGGTTCAGGTCCATTTGTGTTTCAACAAAATGCACAAAAAGTCAAACAGGAGTGTTTTAACATGTAAGCACCGTCGAGGGTTATTAAATTAATAAAATATTGATTTGTTTGTTTTTACATCAAGTTCAGTCAAGTTTATTGTCATTCACACCACATGCATGTGGTACATGAGGTGGAATGAAATTAAGGTCCCAGTTCTATCCAACAGTAGCAAAAATATAAAGTGTAAATAGAAAGAGTATTAGAATAGCAGCAATAACACCAGGGGTTTTAAACTCAGTTACAAAAAAGGTCCAAAGCAACATGCCAAATATAGTTTATGTATTAAATCACGTCAAATACTCGACATGTTTTTTGTTGCAGGTTCATCAACAACAGTTTGATCAGCCTCATTTGACGTTCTCTTTTCCTGTTTCCACATTAAAATCAAGGCGAGCAGGAAAACCAACCTTCTGTTTGTCTTCAAAGTTAGCCAGCTCACGAGAAGTCTGCGCTAAATGCAGTATCAGCTTTTATAAGCAAAATGAGAAGCGGTGACAAATATTTTACATTTAAAATATCATGTTGGAGGAGCAGATGTTAACAGTGTTGGCCCACAGCCTTGAGTGGGACACGTGCTTCTCACCATCAGGAAACACCACCCTCATTCTTCACTAGTTGATTTTAGTAGCCTTTGATGTTTTATTTGATTTGATTTGATTTTTTTCAGATTCATCATTCCTTTTATTTTCTTCTTGGTTCTGTTCTTTCATAGGTTCTCCCATGCCATCCCCCTCCTGCCCATCACCTGTCATTGACCAGTCACATTCCCAGCCTCATCCACATGACAACCCACTGTTAGGCAACACTACTGAGCCAGACACAGATGATGAGGAAGAGGAGGAAGAAGAGGAGTATGCAGCTCGATTGTACCTACCTGTAACTCATGGTAAAGGGCCTTTATTGCTTCGTGTTGGAAGTTCTTGGGAACTAGAATTTGATGGATTTATTGGGTTGATATTTGACATTTCTGTGATCGTGTTTTACAGCAAACCTTTTGAATCACATTCCAGATTTAAAAGCCTTTTCAGTTGGAACTTGGCACACTTGGGATCTGCTCTGGCTCCTTGTGGTACATTTGTATGAAAGCCGAGGATGAGATCAAGCTGGATACTTTATCCACTCGGTCCACAGCGGCTGGAAATGGTCCAGTTCAGAGTGCTGATCTGAGATCTGTTTCCCTCCAAGGGGGACTGATCCCAGATGTGCAGCTGTGTTAGTTGCCCACTGGACTCAGATTGGTCCTGTTTTAGTGGGGGGGTTCAATTGGAAACAGACTTTGATAATTTAAAGAAACAAACTCGGAGAACCACAGTTAGAGTCAGGTTGCATTAGAGAAAAGAAGCATGAAAGGAAGAAAACGAGAGAGACGGGGAGAAAGAAAAAACGAGTGATCGAATCAGAGACAGACAGACGTCGGCTCATATATACATTACCATCTAAACACAATCAAAAACAGCTCTGAAGTACACTCCTGAAATGGCTAAAAGCTTGTGTGAATGTGTGTTTGTGGATCTGTGTGTGGTCCTTTTTCCCCCAAGGTGGTGGCAGTTCAACCAAACCAACCGACCGACCCATGTTCGGCCAGGAAGATAACATTCCCCCTCGCTACTTCCTGCTCTGCCTACAGTTTTTCTTTCTCCCTTTATTTGTTATATTACTCTGAAAAGTTACCAAAGCTTTTTTTTCCTATGCATTACTTTAAGCAAAGTAAACAAGTAGCTTTAGGTTCTTATATGTACACAAAGACAAACTACACTGCAGAAGAAAGCAAAACAGGAAGTGGTACGAACAAATAATCAAAGGTCAGACCAAGAGTTTAATGGTGTAAGAACCTAAAGCCAAGCTCACAGTGCACCCCAAGTGTTTCATTAAGCGCTTACAATCAGCCTGCAAGGTCCTGTTCATCACCACTGGAAAGTTTGAGAAATCATATGTTTCATCACTTCCCAAGTTGCCAGGTTGCATGTCTGACTTGTTTCCAGCCTGAAAAAATGGTCCTGTCAACCCTTGGGAAACGTGTGATGCAGCTGATGGTTGTGTGGCGTGTTAGAAGATGACACCCAGGAAGAAGGGAGCAAAAATAAAGTTTCACTTTCATAAAGGGAACACCCAGCCTAAGACAGCAAAGAGGGGTGAGGAATAAAAACACGACTATAGAACCAGCAGTGAGTCCTGCAAGGACAGGGAACACTTGCCACACATACGGATAGAAAGTCAGATATACTTCATACTTGTGGGCAACTCAAGTAGCAAGTAGGAGCATCTGTGAGGAACATTTGAGGCATGTGACTTGTACAAGGACCCTGTATTACAATTCAATTCAATTCAGTTTATTTATTTAGCACCAAATCACAACAAAGTTGTCTCAGGGACTTTACAGGAACATTCACATAAAAGCTCATTAGTAAGGTTCTCTATCTAAGGAGTTACTATTATTATTGCTAGTTCATCTTATTGTCACCACAAAGCCCTTACTGCCTGTGGCCCTGACGGCTCAGGTGTACAGAAGTGCAGTTTCTCTAAATATTGTTTGCATTCTTCAATTACCATAAGAGTCATAGAATTTGCATGTGGAGGACACAAGGTGTTCATAGCCAGGTTGTGACCTTCTGCCTGGCTGAACACACAAGTGACAAGGAAACCTGAAGCACAGTTGCTGAAGTCATTAGCATTGTTAGCATTTCTACATGTAACGGTGTGGTTAGCTCCAGTGGAAATGTGTGGTGTTGCCAACACAGCGACGTTGTTGCTATACTTAGCGAGTTTTCAGACCCAGTGAGCGACTTCAAAAAAAGGTGATAAGTAACATTTTTAGGTATTTTTTCTGTTATTGGAGACTTTTGGAGCCTGAACGGGAAGTAACCGTTGAGCAGCTCAGTGAGCAGCGAGTGCTGAAATACGCTCCTCCCAAAGCACAGACAGGCGGCTCACTGGAGCCCCGTGCAACAATCCCAGCTGCAGTCCCAACACAAAGGACCGTGCTCCTCCTCGCCCTCACTGCAAATGAATCATGCATGCGCAGACATCACTGTCATCGCACTTTGCCAGTAATGGTATTTGATGTTATGTCTCCTTTTGGTCCAATTAGATTTTGAATGTTGTCAAGCTAAAACCTTATTTACAAAGATAGTTACAATCTTTTACTGTGTGTAGGCTCCAAACTAAAAACATACTTAAAAGAAAACCTCAAACTACAGGAAAAACCCAAGTATCTGTGCCAGAGCGTGTGTGCAGGGTCAGGCCTGGTAAAGAGGAGGTTAAATGTAGAACCAGCAGTTCTCCCCCATACAACATTATTCTGGTTCAGTCAGGCTTTCTAACATTAAACTAAATATAGGACACTTCATTTATGTAATGTAGGTTTAAGTCAAGTATTAAAGTTATAACTATTTATCATAGCATGTATTTGTAATTCTAAACCTATTTAGAAGGTGTTTTACTAACTTTTTGTCTTCAACATTGACATTCATGTCTCCTACAGCCCAGATCACAATGACATGCAAATTAGGTAGTGACATCATCGAGCGACTTCTAGACACTTAGGACAGCCCAAAGCTACTTTCCTTTCTGAGTTTGCACCAGTGGAAGTGTTCTCAACTCAAAAAGCTGCTAACATTCTGATCCACGGTGTCTTGTGATAGATGGAGAACAGCAGAACTGTTATCCACTCTTCTGTTTAATAAACTCCAGGTCAAACGACCTTTAGCTCGTATGACAAACAGCAACTAGTACTTCTAGGTAGTGAACTTTGTTTTTCCTAACAGCCTCTCTAACATTTGCTCTTCCTCTGATTTGATTTCTTACGACTCTACAGTCAGTTCAGCTGACATGTTTTCTCCAGGCAGTAGAAACTTTCCTAACAAGCAGTGCTTGTCTGCGGTGCATTCACTGACCCGAAAAATACTGGACTTCTGAGTGTTGATTGGTTCGGCTTGCCTAATTGTCAGTGCCAGTCATAAGTCGTGATTTCCCATGCATTTCTAATGATAGTGTGTGTGTGTGTGTGTGTGTGTTCATTTGTCTTTCTCTTAGCAAAATGACTCAAAGACCTGACTGAGCTTTGTTGGATTTTACCTGGATTATTGAGCATGAACTTTGGTGATAACTCATAGACTTTAATAAAACTCTTAGATTCATTCAAGCTTTGTTTAAACAGGTTAATCCCTTTGAGCCTCGAGGACTCATTCACAAGAGAGACCTCCTTTAACAAAAAATGACGACAACATTAGACAATCATAAAGTATGCATACAAATTTAATTATTTTTTAACAAGTGAAAATAAAATGGTAATTAAAAGGAAAAGTAGCAAAAAAAAACATCTAGGTTGTAAGGCGGTGCAAGTACTAAAAACAGGAACATGTCTGCATTGGTTTTTGCCAAAAACTTAACAGATGTTTAAAGTCACTTAGAGATGCACTAGTCATTGGATGTACATCTAAATCAGAGGTATGCCTGATTGTTTTTTACCTTTATTATTAATTTTTGTAAATGACCAGTACCACTGTTTAGACAAGACAAAACTCTGGCTTTTTTTTTTGGGACCTGAGTATCTTGGTAATACATTTTTTCATTCTTTCTCCCTCCTTAGATGCATTAATCTGTCCTCCAGCTCTAATGTTAAAAATCTTGGTGTTATTTTTTATCAGGACATGTCTTTTATCCCCCACATTAAAAACGTTACTAGAACCTCCTTCTTCCACCTGCGTAATATCACTAACATTAGAAACATCTGATCTAAAGATGATGCAGAAAAACTGGTCCATGCATTTGTCACGTCTAGACTGGACTATTGCAATGGTTTATTATCTGGGTGTCCAAATACTTCTTTAAAACGTCTTCAGTTGATCCAAAATGCTGCTGCCAGAGTCTTAACTGGAGTTACTGGGAGAGATCATATCTCTCCAGTTTTAGCTTCTCTCCATTGGCTCCCTGTCAAATCCAGAATAGAATTCAAAATCTTACTTCTAACCTACAAAGCTCTCAACAACCTAGCTCCATCTTATATTACAGATCTTATTGTTCCATATTTTCCTAACAGAGCACTTCACTCTCAGACTGCAGGTTTACTTGTGGTTCCTAGAGTTTCCAGCAACAGAATGGGAGGAAGATCTTCCAGTTATCAGGCTCCTCTCTTGTGGAACCAACTTCCAGTTTCTGTCCTTGAGGCTGACACATTATCCAGTTTTAAAACTAGGCTGAAGACTTTCCTTTTTGATAAATCCTATAGTTAGGGTCGGCTTATCATGCTGTCTTAAGCTTAGACTACTAGAGGACAAACTGACCTCATTTCCTTAAATGAATTGTTAAAATTGAATAGTTTTCATTTGATATTATTTCTATCTTAACAAGTGATTCTTGACCTGCCATTGTGTATCTGTTCCTCTCAAACCCAGCCGGTCGAAGCAGATGGTCCTCTTGTCCTGATCCTGGTTCTGTTAAAGGTTTCTTCCTCATGAGGGAGTTTTTCTTTCCACTGTCGCCTTCATGCTTGTTCAAGATGAGAGTTCTGTGATGGAGTTAAACTCAAAGCTGCTCCTCAGATAAATAATGTTCAATTATTATTTTTATACGTGAATGTTTCTGTTCAGTGAACTGAGACGACTGCTGTTGTGACTTGGTGCTGTATAAATAAATTCAATTGAATTGAATTGAATTGAACTAGACATCAGGGCAGAGGATGGCTGATATTGTTTTTCATGTTTTGTAGATTTTTTTTGTACCTGACCAAAGTACAATTATATCCATCCATTATCTTTTACCCGCCTCTTCCATTTTGGGTCACAGGGGTCACGGGGGTCGCCGGTGCCCATGTCCAGCAATCACTGTGCGAGGGGCGGGGGACATCCTGGACAGGTCTCCAGTCCATCACAGGGACACATAGAGACA